TTTCTTTATGGTTTTAAATTCTTTCTATGGCGTTTTCTTTAATGATCAGGTTGCGTCACTTATATCTGGAATGAAGAACCAAGGTTACACATGGATTACTGTGTCTGTCTTTATGGCAAGGAAGGTTTGGTCTTGTTCTGAGATCTGGTGTGTATGGTTGCATTATTATGTGTATGGTTATGGTTGGCAATGTCTCCTATTAATCAAAATTTATAAGAGAAAGAGAAATCAAAGTTATGGCTCAAATGGTGACTCTATTGCATGGCGTGTTGAATCATTTGGTGGTGTCTATGGTTGGCACATGCGAATTTTGCTTGTGCAAGTCACTTTTAAATGGCAAAAGAATTTTTGGACGCCTCAAAAGCGTAGGACAGTACGGAATAACCAATTTATTGGATTAGTTAATCATGGCTGTGGTATTATAATGGGTTACAAATGTAATGTGATAAACTTGTACTTTTCATTGCGATGGATTGATAATGAAGAACTTCAAATTAATTTTAACGCAATACAATATTTCTTCTATCATCTGATTTGGATTCAATGGGTTCTCTTATTAAAGATACAACCGGAATACATTAATATGTATCATGATGGTTTTAAGTCTTGGTCGACATCCTATTTTGCCCACTTGGGATAGCCTTTTGAAATTATTTTTAATGAGGTATTCTGAGTTGGAATTGTAGAGGTGGTGGAAATTCGGATACAGTTCAACGGATTAGGGATTTACGACGCCAGTATTTCCCAGATTTTATATTTTTAATGGAAACCAAACAACGTTTTGCTTATATGGATACTTTAAAATCAAGTTTGGGGTATGATTATATTCATATGGTGGAACTGATAGGACGTAGTGGTGGTTTAGCTTTAATGTGGAAAAGTTGCTATGCAGTAGATATTATCAATAGTGATAATAGAATTATTGATCTAAAAGTGACAATGGGTTCAATAGTGTTTTTTCTTTCATGTGTATATGGAGATCCCGTAAGAGGAAGAAGACGAGAGGTTTGGGATAAATTATCGGACATTGGTGTGCATAGGGATGAGGCATGGATTTTGGTTGGTGATTTTAATGAACTAATGCATAATGGAGAAAAATTAGGGGGTCCTCTGAGAGAGGAGACAACTTTCTTTGATTTTCGGAATATGGCTGATGCATGTAAAATTCGGGAAATGAGGACCACGGGAAATACTCTTTCATGGGCAGGTCGGAGAGACCATAATTGGATCCAATGTCGGTTAGATAGGAGCTTTGGTAATGACGAATGGTTTCGTCTTTTTCCTCAATCGTCTACGGACTATATGAGTATGTGGCCTTCTGATCATCGACCTTTGCGTGTCGAATTTGCCTTAGAACCAGAGAATTTGCAAAGGGGAAGATTTTATTTTGATAGACGTTTGTTTGGTAAAAAAGGTGTTGATGAAGCTATTATTCGTGGATGGGATTTAGAAAATGTTAACTCGAATCTGAGTGTTCTGGATCGTATTGCTCGATGCCGGTCGGAATTGTCCAAGCTTAAAAAAGGAATGATTGGATTTCAAAAACAAGGATAGACCGTTTGCAAAATGATTTGGACAAGGAGAGTTCAAAACAATTCCCTGTCTATGGTTTGGTACGGAGATTAAGACAGGAACTGGCAATGGCCTATAGAGAAGAGGAAATTTTTTGGAGACAGAAAAGTAGAGAAGAGTGGTTGAGGGAAGGGGATAGAAATACAACTTACTTTCATAATGTGGTTAAAGGGAAAAAGATACGAAATAAGATTCTGATGCTTAAAGATATTTTTGGTAATGAAAATTATTCGGAAGGGTCTAAAGGGCATATAGCGACAGAATATTTCCGAGATTTATTTACCAGCAACAATCCAGGGGATTTAGAAACTTTGTTCGACGGTTTCGAGAGCCGGGTTACTCCTGAGATGAATATTTCATTAATCAGAGAAGTCTCTTCGGAAGAAATAAAGAAGGCAGCTTTTGGTATTAAAAGTAGTAGTGCTCCCGGTGAAGATGGTCTTACTGGTTTTTTCTATCAAAAATATTGGCATATTGTGGGTCAGAAGATCATTGAGGATGTTCAAGGTTTTTTTAATACAACTATTATGCCTTCTGGGTGGAATCATACACAGTTATTCTTATTACCAAAAATTTTACACCCTACGGAAATGAAGGATATGCGTCCCATTAGTCTATGTAGTGTTCAATACAAGATTATTTCTCGGATTCTATGTGAACGTTTGAAGGGTATTATGCCTAATATAATATCGGAAACACAAGGAGCTTTTGTTGAAGGCAGACTAATCACTGACAATATCATTATAGCCCATGAATTAGTACATGGGTTACGAACAAATGATAAGATTGGTAAGGAGAGTATGGCTATAAAGACGGACATGTCTAAAGCCTATGATCGGGTAGAATGGAATTTTCTTGAGGTTTTATTAGAAAAACTGGGTTTCGACCGTAGATGGGTTGTTTGGATAATGTCTTGTATTACTACTGTCACTTTTCCGGTTTTACTTAATGGACGTACCCATGGGTTTATTAAACCGGAAAGAGGAATACGTCAAGGTGATCCTCTATCTCCTTTCCTTTTCATTTTATGTGCAGAGGCCTTAGTCCATGTTTTGAACAGAGCTGAATCTCTGGGGAAATTACATGGTATTAAATTAGCCACAGGTAGCCCATCGGTTCACCATTTGTTATTTGCTGATGATAGCTTATTGTTATGTGAAGCTTCTATCAGGGATAGTGAGGCAATTATGAAAGGTCTAAAACTTTATGGGGATGCGTCTGGACAAATGATTAACCCTTTGAAATCATCAATCATTTTTGGGAAAAAAATAACAGATGACATAAAACGGGCGGTTAAACGGGTTATGGGAATTGAGAAGGAAGGGGGTGAAGGGTCTTACCTAGGTCTCCCTGAATGTTTTCAGGGATCAAAGAAAGACTTACTTAATTTTATCAAGGAAAAATTAGAAAGAAGGCTACAGGGATGGTATTCAAAAACTTTGTCAATGGGGGCCAAGGAAGTTTTGATGAAGTCGGTTGCTCTAGCTCTCCCAATATATGCAATGTCAGTTTTCCAGCTACCAAAGAGTCTTTGTGAACGAATTACGAGTGCGATCATTGAGTTTTGGTGGAGTAGTGGGGATAAAAAAAGAAAGATTCCTTGGGTTGCTTGGGAAAAGTTATGTAAACCAAAAGAACAAGGTGGTCTTGGTTTTCACGACATTGACCGTTTCAATCAAGCTTTACTTGGAAAACAGGCTTGGCGGATTTGGAATAACCCAGATTCTTTGGTTTCTCGAATTCTTAAAGGAAAGTATTTTAAAAATGGAAATTTTCTTGAGTGTGGTATGGGGACGCGCCCATCATTTGCATGGAGGAGCATCATGCACGGTCGTGAACTCCTTAAAAAAGGGCTGGTTAGACATATTGGTAATGGGATGGATACAAATGTTTGGGCAGAAAACTGGATTATTGATATTATTCTCCGGCCTCCAATGTACCGGGAAAATAGCCCCATAGATTTAGCTTTAAACGTTTCTGATCTATTTCTACAGGGGTCAAATCAATGGGATATTAATTTGTTACATCGTACGTTTACACCACAAGATGTTCAAAGGATTTTAGTGTTGAAACCGTCGCCAGTGTCACAGGATACTTTTAAATGGGGTTTCACGCCAAATGGGATTTATTCGACTCGGAGTGCATATAAATTTTCAGAGACTTTGATAGATTTTGAACACCCTCCACAGAACTCTCTCCCTCCTATTGAAAGACATTTGTGGAGAGACCTTTGGAAGATCAAAGCTCCCCCAAAAATTAAACATTTCCTCTGGCGTGCTTTATCGGGTGCATTAGCTGTTAAACAACGTTTGGCTACTCGGGGTATTCTTATTGATCAAACTTGTTCTCTGTGTGGAAATGAGGTTGAGAGTATATGTCATGTTCTCTTTACATGTGAAAAAGCAAAGGCCACATGGGAACAATCAAATTTCCCACTACCTCCAGGAGGTTTCTCTCGGAATTCCACATTTTTAAATTTTCTGCATCTGAATAAGACGGCAAAAAATTTAAATATGGATTTTCATAATAGAAATGTGTTCCCATGGTTATTATGGGAAATTTGGAAAGCAAGGAATGCTTTTACCTTTGAAAACAAAGTATTTGATGCTTTCGTCGTAGCTAAGAAAGCATATGAAGCCGAATCAGAATGGGTGGATACTTTTTCCGAACGAAATGAGGAGATTACTAGTATTGAGACGGAAATGGTGCGATGGAAACATCCGCCCACTGGTTTTATAAAATGTAATATTGGATCTTCATGGGTGAAATCTAATCAACCGTCTGGTGCTTCTTGGATTTTACGGGATGAATATGCGTACAAAAACTGAAGCGGATTTATGGGCTTTGTTTTGGGCGGTCGTATGTATGGATAATTTACATTACTCAAATATTATATTTGAGACTTTGTCTGATTGCCTCCATGGTGTTTTCTCAAAGCCTTTTAGCCAGCAAACCCATGATTTCAGCATCATCCGTCACAATATCATCACTCTTTTAGCAAGAATAGAAACATGGAGTCTAGAACATGCTTTCCAGGAGCGCAATGAAGCGGCAGCGGCGATTGCCCTAAGTGTCACCCGTGATCAGCGTCACCAGTCGTATATCGCTAGACTTGCTCCACCGTGGCTTTATCACCTTCTCGCATGGGAGGCTCAAAAGTAAGGAATCCGATGGGGTGAGGTTTCAATTATTTTGTTGTTGGTGTCTATTGACATTCTTTTTTTCCCCTTCTTTTGTATTCCATGTTCCATGTCTTGGACAAGTCGAAATAACAGTGTTATAAAAAAAAAATATCATATACTGTATTTGCAAATTAACTTTTGTTAGAATGGTATAAATACCAAAAAGGAATTTAGGGTTAACTAAACTAATTCATCATATTTCCTCTCCACAGCCTCGACTGAAACTTCAGCCGGCTGATAAATATCATGACGTCCCAAGAAGTTGAACCAACCCAAAAGAACAAGAGGGTTCGTGAGTCACCGTCAACGTTTTCTTCACTACCAGACGAAATCGCAGAGAACATTCTTGCACGTGTCTCCAGATGGCAGTACCCATCGCTCTCTCTCGTCTCAAAGAAGTTCCACTCTCTCTTATCATCTATGGAAATCTACAAGACGCGATCTCAAATAGGAGCCCAAGAAACATGCGTCTATGTCTTGTTAGAGTTGCCTGATCACCCATGTGCGAGCTGGTTTAGCCTTTGGACGAAACCTAATAATCAAGACTCAAGTGGGATGTCGGTTGTTCCTATACCTTCTCCCCCTACCGATTATTTTCCAGGACTACGTTCCATGAAAACGTTTGGTTCGTACATGAACATAATCGGTGGACCCTACAAGGAACCGTCTTCCTCGGTTTGGATCTTTGATTGTCGGAGTCACACTTGGCGTGATGGCCCTAACATGTCCGTGACTAGAAAGAGTCCGCATACAGTTTTACTCGATGAGAAAATATATGTGATGGGAGGTTGCGATATTGACAAGTACTATGCCAACTGGATTGAGGTATTTGACCTAAAAACTGAGTCCTGGACAGCCTTGCCTGGTCCTGACGTTGATGAGTTATTTAAACACTTACGCATAAGCCGTTGGGATAAAGTGTATGTGTTTGAAGGGAAATTTTACTTTAAGGCAGGTGTTAAGGAATACAGTTACGAGCCGAAAGATGGAACATGGAAACTTGTAAAAGAGATTTCGAGTTTCCTATTCGATAATTCCGTATGGACTTGGTGTGAGATTGGGAAGATAATATGTTGTTACACTCACCCGGGCTATTTAATGTGGTCTGCCTCGGAGATTGAGGGTAGAGTGTGGAGAGAGATCAAGGGTTTGGAGGAACTGCGTGAACATCCTACAAGAGGTTTAAAACATGGGTATACGTTTACACTGTTGGACTGTGGTGGCCAAATTTTAGTTCTGTGGGATCTGAAGTGTCCCTTTACTAGCCCTACACAAAGCGACAAAATTGGGTATGCCAAGATTTCTTTAGAACCAAGATACAATGGACGTGAGGTGTGGGGCAACGTTGAGTGTGTCCATGTACTTACCTTTCCCGTCGAATCATATGGATGGTCTAGTTGTTTAACTGCTTTTGTTTGATGCCTCTTAGAGATGGTATGAGTTGTTCAAATATCCTGTTTTGTTCTTCGAGACAATCTTCTAATTTGGTTGTTCCTCTCAAGTCAAAGTGATAAGTGATACTATCATAAGCTTAATTACATATGCACTAATTATTACTGGTAGTTGTGTTTGCATTAGAGTTTACACATTATAATATAGTATTTGGTTATTTTTCAGATGAAACTACAATAATAATGAATTTGAGATTAAGGAAATTGGGCCGTATGACCATGAAAAAAACATAATTCACATACAGTAGAACCTCTATAAATTAATACTCGATAAATTAATATATACTAAATATCTCTATAAATTAATATAATTTTGTAGTCTCAAATTGAGTTTTAATATGGTTCAATTAGTATATCTATAAATTAATATCTCTCTAAATTAATAAAAAATATAAAATTTTGGTGTAGTCCCAACATCTATTATATTAAAATAGAGTCATTCTTTTTATCTACTGATACAAGTTGTCATTTAAATTTGGACCATTTCTAGAATGTTACAAATAATATAAGTCATATAATTGATTGAACTGTATTACTTAAATTAAACCACCACAATTAATGTAAAAAGACGACCTTAATGTAAAATACCTTCAAAATACGACATATATCTATGTGTATACCGAAAACACATATTTTCTCCTACAAATATGGAATGTTTAAAAAGAATATATATCATCAAAATATGGAATATGGAAATCTACTTATTATATTTAAATTAAACCAGTGTTTATTTATGAAATATAGTCTTGGGCTTACTTTTATTTTTTGAACAAATTATTTAGTTTGGTTTTTGGGCTTAATATTAAGAAAAAACTCCAAAAAACATTGAATAAACTTTTCACCTTAAAAGATCAAAAAATAACTTATTATTTTCAGACCCAAAAGATATTTAATATTTTTAACAAAACAAAATTATTTATTATTAATCATTTATTTAAATCATGTACTTTAAAACATGTTAATATTTTTTTTATTTTAAATAACAATCACTTTGGTTTGATAAATTTCAATGGTAACTTTTAAATAATTTATTGTTTTATTTTTCTAAAATAATTTATTGATTAAAAAAATGTAAAGCAAAACCAAAAACCAAATCTAAAAACTAAAATCCAAAACCAAAAGCTGAAAACACATGTTATATTTTTTTTCTTTGTTTATTTACAAAATAAACTATTTCAGTTTTTTTTAAAAAAATTGTTATCATCTTTTCAGCTTTAAATTAGATGTTCGGTTATTTGATATTTGTTTGTTGGTAATATTAGTTCAAACTAACTCAGCGGGTTTAAAATTTAAAAACCCAAACCAAAAACTGAAAATGAAAAATAGAAACTTAAAAACTAAAAACCAAAAACCAAAATCTAAAAATAAAAACTGAAACTAAAAACTAATGAAAAACAATCATCACCACAAATTTTGGTGAACTGATTTTATATCAAAATATTCTTTAAATTAAGACAAAACCCAATTATATAAATTTTTAATCATAAAAATTTTCCTACAAATATGGAATGTTTAAAAAGAATATATATCATCAAAATATGGAATATGGAAATCTACTTATTATATTTAAATTAAACCAGTGGTTATTTATGGAATATAGTCTTGGGCTTACTTTTATTTTTTGAACAAATTATTTAGTTTGGTTTTTGGGCTTAATATTAAGAAAAAACTCCAAAAAACATTGAATAAACTTTTGGGCTTATTTGTGTAGTAGCCATATTTGGTAGTGAAATTAGGTAGATAGCAATGATTTTGACATAATGAAAAATCTAACATTTCCATCCCAAATTATCCGGTTATACCCTTTTCTTTCTCAGTTACCCGGTAAACAAATATGTCTGATACTTAGAAGAAATAACATATGGCCAGGAGTGACTGAAAACTATTATATATTAAAGAAGGATAAGACACCACGTTACACGTTTATTAGCTTCATACAAATGCACAAAATATTCTATTCCATATCACTAAAATAGTATGAGATTCAAGTCTTACCTATAATCCATAAATACTAAACACTACTTCAGTCTCATATTTATTCACTATATGAAGTAAAATAAACCCTAATCCAAAATATTATATGCCAGTAAATAAGTAACATATGCAATTAGAATTGTACCATCTGATATAATATAGAATTTAAATATGTGGAATAGAACATATGGTCAGGCGGAATGGAAAGCGAATAGTATATTATTTCTGACATAGTATGACCTACAAGTATCAAACCCTACTCAACATAATAAATACTAAAACCTAAGAAAAACCCTTGATTACTAAATCTAGACCCTAATTACTGATCAATAAACCCAAACATAATTCATGTAACGCGTGGAAGATTAACTCACGAAACGCGTGGAAGAAATTTATTCAACATATATAATGTGTTTTTCATTCTGTATGAGCATATGGAACAGAAAAGGTGAAAAACAAACTATTCTATCTAGGTTGCACATATACTATTTTATTTATGTGACATAGTACATCACTCAAACCGTTATTGAGAACTAACATATAAAACCAACCACAACACCTAAATAATATACCCAAATCTCTATTTATTAAATCTAAACCCTATATTCTAATCACTAAACCCTAACTCCAATTATCCCCTTCCCTTTCTAAATACTAAACCCTAAATGCTAATCACTAAATCATAACCCAAATATAAATTTTAAACCCAAATATAAACCATAATCATTAAACCCTAAATTCAAATATAAATCTTAAACCCAAATATAAACCCTCAACCTAAACAGAATGAAACTATATAAATAGCATAGTACATGTTGGAGAAAAGACTAGTATGGAAGCTCATACCTTATAACTAGGGTTTATAGTGTTTAGTTTTGATCAATACACATAAATTAAGATTCATAACAATGATAAAATAACAAACATAATTTATGCTTATGGATTGTACATTCATATTTCTATTCTATATTCTGCAAATAGAATAGTATACAATAAATAGTAAAGATCAAATATTTCATTTTACATGAATGGTCTTTCCATTTTACGTATACATGATCTATTCAACTTATATATACATTGCGTCATTATTGTCATTTCCAAATTAATGGGGGTTGATTAATAAGTATGTACAAACAGTTAATTCGTAGAAAGATCACAAGAATATATAACAAATGTTTATTTATTATATAATACATTTCTATTCGAGTGCGCCAAATAGAATAGAACAAAATAAATAATAAATTACAAATAAAACGACTATAGATGGAACTGATGGAGTAGTGTAGAAAGAAAAACGAGGAGAAGGTGAGGAACCATGGGGAGTAGTGGTGATGGAGAGAAGCTTGTGATGGCAATGAAATAACCGATGGTAGTGGTGGTGATGGCAGTATTACCTATGAAATAATAACAATATAGTACATATAACGTTTCATTTCTATTCTATGTGAATAATATAAAATAGAATAGAAAACATGGAATGAAATGGATTCAGAGCATTGTCCGCCTTAGTGGAAACCTCATCAACAATGTGATGCACTAGGTATGCAATCGACCAAACAGTATATAGATAATGAAAGGACTATGTAGAGTCGTATTCCATTCTATCGTGGATGGAGTAGCTCAAAAGAACAATATACTATATCTCTCCATAAGTATAGATAGCAGGAGTACCGTTACCCATGTAAGCCGTACTATGTTATATGTATTCCATTCTATCAAAGATGGAGTAGACTACAAGAAAATGTACTCTACATGTTAAAGTATAGAACTCAACACTAGCTCAACCCACAGAATAACAATGGATGATACTAACTGTCGTTCTATGTCAATTTCGTTCTATTCTATCTCTAGTAAATTGTTTTTTAAATTGTGTATGTTGGCTAATAAACGTAAATCTCATATCAAAAATCTTCCATAAACTAAACCATAACAGTCATAACTAAACCCTAAAATATAGTATTAACCCAAATACATATATCATAATACACGCAAATGTCAGATCATAAAGCGTCCATAAACTAACCCAAACGGGGATAACTAAACCCTAAAATAAACTATTAACCCTAATCCATATATCATAATATGGCGACATTAGTTAATATCAAGTGTAATCAAAAGAAATAAGCCATTAAAGTAAATGTAAACAGTAATCAATACACCATTCAAGAAACTATAAACTAAACCAAAAGAGTGATAAGTAAAACGTATAACATACATTAACCCCTAATACACGCAAATGTCAGATCATAAAGCGTCCATAAACTAACCCAAAATGGGATAACTAAACCCTAAAATAAACTATTAACCCTAATACATATATCATAGTATGGCGACATTAGTTAATAGCAAGTGTAATCAAAATAAATAAGCCATTAAAGTAAACGTAAACAGTAATCAGTACACCATTCAAGAAACTATAAACCATAATCCATATATCATAATATACGCACACTTCATATCACTGATGTAACTAAACTAAGCAAGTTGGCAAAGTGGAAGATATGTTGATTCAAATTCCATTCTATCTCTATATCATAATTCAATTCCATTCTATATACTTCATGTTCCATTCTATGGGGTTGGAGTAGCTTTAAAAAGAGTATACTATTTAACATAAAATATACATAGAGTGAGGTCTTTTACGCATAGAATAGTAGTTGTGTAGAACAAAGAATAAACCAAATGTCAATCTTAAATCATTCATAATATAAACCAAAACACAAACCATAAAACAAAGTCTTAACCTTAATACATATACCATAATATGCCCTTAGTAGTTAAACTAAAAACATAGTAATTATTCTTTTCCATTTGGCATGGAATGGATAAAGATACATAACATAGAAAATCTTGGCCATTTTCCAGGAAATTAATAACATGAGAAAATTAGTCCAAATCCGAAATTAAATAGATAACATAGAATGTCAGAGTGATATAACATAGAAAATACCATCATTGTCTGCTATTGTTCGTAAATATATATGGCGCAAGCAGCAATACATTCCATTGGGTGTGGAATGGAAATTGAGATAGCATAGAACATTTTGACAAATTAAGAAAGAACATTTTAACCAATCATTTTGAAAAAGTAGACGACAATTTCAGTAACAGATCGATGAATCTAGTAGGCGAAGGTTGTAGATTTAAGAAACCATAAACCCTAATTCGAAATAGAAAGTAGTAATGGAATTGAAAATCAGACGACCTAAAGTCAAGAAACCGGAGAAATCACCTTGACAGAGAAGATCGTAGAAGAATAGAGAATAGAAAGTATAGTTGAGAAGAGGGTGAGGGATGCAGAGTAGAGAGGGAGGACTTCTTCTGGATTGATGAACCGGAGTAGATGCCGGAAGCGATTTCGACGACGGAGGTAACAAAATCAGGGAGACGGAGGCGGAATCGACGTGGTCAGAGTAGGTTTGTGTGGAGACGTTTCACTGTCTGGGGAGTTACTGGGATATGTGAAAAAGGGGTGGAGGATGGTTAGACACGATTTACAGTTTATGCTCGAGTAAATTAAACTAATTTAATTTATTTTAGCCGGTGAAACCAGTTTAGGATAGGGATAATATGGCCATATTATAGAAAGCAAACGGCGTGACTTGATCTGTTAGGGTTTTTGGCTAGTAGGCTAAATATGGGTTTTTGTTTGGCTATTAAGCCCAATTTCCCTAAACTTTTCACCTTAAAAGATCAAAAATAACTTATTATTTTCAGACCCAAAAGATATTTAATATTTTTAACAAAACAAAATTATTTATTATTAATCATTTATTTAAATCATGTACTTTAAAACATGTTAGTATATTTTTTTATTTTAAATAACAATCACTTTGTTTTGATAAATTTCAATTGTAACTTTTAAATAATTTATTGTTTTATTTTTCTTAAATAATTTACTGATTAAAAAAATGTAAAGCAAAACCAAAAAAACAAATCTAAAACTAAAATCCAAAACCAAAAGCTGAAAACACATATTATATATTTTTTGCTTTGTTTATTTACAATATAAACTATTTCAATTTTTTTTAATTTGTTTTCATCTTTTCAGTTTTAAATTATATGTTTGGTTATTTGAGATTTGTTTGTTGGTAATATCAGTTCAAGCTAACTCAGCGGGTTTAAAAATTAAAAACCCAAACCAAAAACTGAAAATGAAAAGTAAAAACTCAAAAAATAAAAACCAAAAACCAAAATCTAAAAATAAAAAGTGAAACTAAAAACTAGTGAAAAAATATCATCACCACAAATTTTGGTGAACTGATTTTATATCAAAATATTCTTTAAATTAAAACAAAACCTAATTATATAAATTTTTAATCATAAAAAATTTCCGCGCTTTTAAGCATGGGTCAAAATCTAGTTATTAATTTATAGAGGTTTCACTGTACTAACCATTTACCTTAACAGACCTTTAGACACGACACCGTTATATATATTAATACTGTAATACCCCTTTCTTTAATCGGTGTAACCTACTAAAAAAATATATTAATTATTAGATGATCAAAAGTATATCGTGGCTTTTCATATATTTCTCTTTTTTTTTCTCGAGTCAAAAGGTCTCCGGCACTAATTTCTGGATCTCCACAGCATTGCCTCCTCCTGATTTCAAAAGCTTTGCCATCTCCTTTGTACTCTCATTCCAATCGTTTAATTTTCTCCGCTTGTGCCATCCTCTGACATCGTACGACATTAAAGTTGCAGTGGCGTTTAGTAATAAAGCTTTCCTCTCCAACTTCACCAAGTCGATTCTTTCCAAATCTTTGGAACTACAGTAAGTTTTCGGGTGTTTATCTTTGAATCTTTTCATTTTTTTTCTATTTGGGCTATTGTCGAATTAAGGTATTATAATTGGTAAATCTACAACCTCGATACAATTGCATGTTGGATCTGATTTTTGGACCAAAGTTTAATTGATTTAGGGTTTTGGTTTCCCCGATTCTTAACAGCATCTGTAAGATAATTTATATGCGTAAGATCTCTTATGTCTATTTTATTTGAGATGGAATAGAAATATTGTAGGTTCAAACTATTCTATTTGTGATGGAATCGATTGACAAACTATTCTACTTGAGATGGAATTGAATGATCTTTAACATATTTGCTATAATTCTTTATAAATAATTATATTGTTTCAAATATAAATGTTTATTTTTACATAAAATAGAATGAATTACTGTGTCCTAACCATGTTGCCCTCTTACTTTCTTTTTCAGTTTTAGCATGGCGATTTGCCTGCCAAGTAGATTGTTTAAAACATGTTTTGAACCAACTGGAAAGAAGGATTAACAACTATTTCAACATCCATTGAATTGAGGTGATCAAGAATGCAGTATATACTCAATCTTGTTCATTGTTATTTTATATTCTCCTAATATAAGTTTTGTATCGATGTATATATTTAGGATTTAGTATTTGGAAGGTGGGGGTTGAGGTTTGGGTTTAGTGACCATCATGTATCGTTCCATTTGATTATTAATAAAAAGTGTTCTATTTTACTCACCAGTATGTACTATTCTATATATTTTGTTTCATTCTATTTGGGTTTAAGGATATATACTTGGGTTTATAGTTTAGTGATTAAAATTTAGGCTTTAGTATTTGGAAGGTGAGGGTTGGGGTTTGGGATATGTTTAGTATTTAAGGTTTGTAGGTGGAATTATAAACCTATACTACAACATTTGTATTAATTAGGGTTTATATTTATACTATGTATTTTGTTCCATTCTATTTGGATTTAGGGTTTATATTTGAGTTTAGAATTTAATAATTAAAATTTAGGATTTAGTATTTGGAAGGTGGGAGTTGAGGTTTGGGTTTAGTGACCCATCATGTATCGTTTCCTTTGATTATTAATAAAAAGTTTCTATTTTACTGATCGGTATGTACTATTCTATATATTTTGTTTAATTCTATTTGGGTTTAAGGATATATACTTGAGTTTAGAGTTTAGTGATTAAAATTTAGGGTTTAGTATTTGGAAGGTGGGGGTTGAGTTTTGAGTTTAATGATAACAATTTAGGGTTTAGTATTCAAAAGTTAGGCATGGTTTAACATTTTAGCAATGTGTGTTAGGTTTGTGAATGTGATGTGGCCTTCTTTTCTTACGGTAGTTGTAAGGAAGTGACTCTAAATTTTGACATGGAAATGTTTTATATTGGTGTGTAAATGATTATTTGTTTTGTTCTATTCTAGTTAACAAATGTAGAATATAATGTAATTTAATGGAATGGGGTTGAGATTTATATTTGTATTTAGGGTTTATATTTATTTTAAAAATTTTCTATTTTTATCCATTTTTACTACATATAGTGAATAAATACCGGACTAATGTAGTGTTTAATATTAGTGAATGTGGGTATCGTTTGAGTCATATAGTATTTTGACAATATGGAATAGAATACTTAATGCATATGTATGCAGTTAATAAACGCGTAACGTGACATCTCCTTCTTTAATATGAAAAAGATTTAATCACTCCTGATCATATATTATTATTTGTGATACATAATCAGACATATCACATGTTACCGAGTAATTGTTAGTAGGAAGGGTATAACCGGCTCATTTTGGACGTAAATGTTAGATTCTTCATTATGTCAAAGTCAATGACATCTACCTAATTTTACTTTCAAATATAGCTACTACACAAATAAACCCTTGAGATTAAGCATGTGTAAAGAAAAAACCAACTCAGTTTTAATGTTATAATTCTATATTTAAAGATGGATGGATATCACAACTTGATCTAGTTTAGATGGGCGGTTGATAAAAAAAAAATAGATGGACCAACTCAGTTTTTGTTAGTAATGAAACACACACAAAACAATCCGGATATGCAGTAAACTTGTCTTGATTACAAATACAAGAAGAGCGTAAAAATTAATACAAAAATCAACGTTACATTCATAATACATGAAACATTTGTGAGTTTCGTGGAAACGTGAGGACCAAACAACACATGTGTAAAGAAGAATCCAATTTACAGTAAAAAAAGATCCGATTGGTAGTATCTTTCGTTTCTTCTTACTTCTTTCTCATTTTCGGATAGAAAGAAGCTCAAAGCTTCTGAGAGCATCATCACGTGCACTCCTAGAAGCAGCCACTCTGTTGCGGTTAAAGGCAGATGCTGTCTTTGACTCATATCCACTCACACCAGCTGCTGCTTGGGCTCTCTGAAAAACAGATGGTCGACCACCACCGCCGCTTGAGGCCACACGGCTTGAGCCGCGGCTGTCCCCTTGTTCACCTGATGAGCTTGGTCTACTCCCTGAGGCCACCGCTCTCCTTGAAGCACTTCCGTATCTAGAAGTGTTTCTTCCTTTCTCAGATACCATATTCTGATCCCAAAACACAAAACATCATGAGGCTGTAACTAAGTGTTTTATAGAAGATCATTAAATATTCAAAAAAATCATTTTGTTTAGGTCTGATTTGCTGTTTAGACAACTAATGCACTACACCAACACGAATTTGATGCCTTTTCAAAGTGAGATTTCTCATTTCTATGTAGAAAAAGATGATTAAGTATATATATATTACCACAGAAGGTTTCATAGGTGAAGGAACATCGTCAGGAGTTCTATGTCTGGTCTGGTTTTGATGTGGACTAACTCCTGTAGCGTTCCTTCTCGCGAATGCTTCAACTGCACCAGAGAATCTGTCGCGGATTTCCTTCCCAACTGTAAGCAAATAGATTAGATCAGACCACTTGGTAGAGATGTTTCTAGTAAGTCTGTAAAAAAAGGAAAATGATTACCTGAGATCCTTTCAGGTTTCTCAGCAGATGCTCCTGCGGCCACAACTGGTTTACCAGTACGATGCTGAAGAAAAAGAAAGTGTAGTGAGGATCAAAGTGTGTACAGACACTTAAGGACACAAGTGTACTCACCCTTCCGTGAGAGCTGGACCGGGAACTGGAACTACTCTGAGGGTGTTTCAATGCAGTCCAGTCAAATATATAGTCAAACTGATAACCTGTAACAAAGAAACAACAGTGCTATGTTACTTTATATGAAAAAAAAAAGCAAAGATTAGTATCTGAAGCACACAAACCTTCTCGGATAAACAAATCTCTGAATAGCCTCCTTAGATACGAGTAGTCTGGTTTGTCCTCGAATCGCAAGGACCTGCAGTATTGAAAGTATGATACGAATTCTTGTGGATAGGACTTGCACAAGACCTGTTACAAAAGAACAAACAATTAGATAGCTGATCTAACTCCAATCAAGGGTGTCTAAGCCGCCGTATTATGTATTTCACCATACCTCTATGGGAGTTGAAACTTTCTTCTCGCTGATTCGGTCATACTTCTGCTTCTTTGTGCCAGCTTTTAGTCCCTGCCATGGGAGGCTGAACACAGAAAAATCAGACCAGAAGATTCAGAACAAGCAAGTGTAATAAGACAAAAAAAAAGGATCAGAATGCACAACCTTCCTCTCAGGAAATACATGAGCACATAACCAAGAGACTCCAGATCATCCCTTCGACTTTGCTCTGCATAAAAATACCAAAGCAAGCAGACATTTAAAAAACTACTACACACAACTTTGAAGTAGATCTCAAGTGGTTGTATGAGTTGCTTACCAACACCAAGGTGAGTGTTGACGCTAGCATACCGAGCTGTGCCCGTAAGGTTCTTGTTTTCTCTGTAATTGGAAAAAAAACAAGAGTATCTTTAAGAGTTCAAGTAAGAAAATATACGAACATGCACATGAAAGCTCTCCATAAAAATCACCTGTAGGGGATGTGTCTATGTGTTTGGAGATCTCTATACTTCTTTGCAAGGCCAAAATCAATGGCATACACCTATAGACATAAAATTCAGGAAATGATTTAGTTAAAAATATAAACTCATAGCAACAGTAACCAAGAGAGAAAAATAAACAACCTGGTTTGCTTTGCGACCAAGTCCCATCAAGAAATTGTCTGGTTTTATGTCTCTATGAAGAAATCCTCTTGAATGCATATACTCAACTCTGCTAATCTACAATTGGGTTCAACAAAACACTTTAGTTGTAACTCTAACAAAGTGAACGAAGCACAAGATGATACACTAACCAGTTGATCGGCAAGCATCAAAACTGACTTCAAAGTGAGCTTCCTATTACAATAGTTAAACAAATCTTCCAAACTCGGTCCAAGCAGATCAATAACCATCGCATTGTAGTCTCCCTGAACCCCAAACCACTTGAGGCTAGGGATCCCAGCTTCACCACATAAAACAAAAAATGTAAAATGAGCTCGGTTCAAACATGTTTTTTCATCAAATTGGGACAATGATAGAGAAGTAAAACTTACTTCCTCCTTGTAGAAGCATGTAAATCTTGGACTCATAATGAAGTTGTGGATGCTTAGTTTTCGCAGGCTCCTTCAAAAGTTTCACAAAAAAAAAAAAAAGTTAATCAAAAGATTCAATTTTTAGCCTTTCCTTCAAACTAAGAGATCAAATGATGAATAAAGAAGGTGGATTTGAATCATATACCAGTTTTACAGCTACTTCTTCTCCGGTTTGCAAACTTACGCCTGAAAAAAATATTTCCAGATTTAAAATCAAAAGGGTAATAATCAAGAAATTGAATACGATTTAATAAAAAAGCAATCTTTTTTTTATTACCAAGAAAAAGCTCTCCAAAAGAGCCACCACCGATCTTCCGACCAAGCTTAAACTTGCCACCGATTACATTGTCCATTTTCAAGTCCATTCAGACAAGAACCCTAAATTGCTTTTCTTTTTTTCTCCTAATACTTGCTACCTATCTCAGATCGAAAACAAGTCAACCCCAAAATAAACACCTCTCTTTTCTCTCCTGCGTAACCATCCAATACCGTTGAAGAAGAGTTGAATCGCCGGAAGATGTAATAAATCAGACAGAAATTCATTAGAAAATCGACAAAACTACATTCCCCATGTTGAGATTTTTTTCACATTCCCAAAATCAAAGGTGACGATGACGACGCGAAAAAAATCGATTTCCGCAACGAAAACACATTGACCCCAGTAATCATGTAGAGATAGAAAAGAGACAGATGTATGGGCCTAAAACCTTTATTGGACCTGGCCCGAATGTTTCATACTTCAAATATTAGAAAAACACGTGCGAAGTCACGTGATAAAAACGTTGACTAGTGTTCAATCCAATAGAACCAAACCAAATCGAAATAGAGAAAGCAAAGCAGTTTGAATTTGATAATACCAAATATATCGAATGAATGTCATTTTTAAAAAATCACGGTATATGAATATTATTTTTAATATAAAACTAAAAACCAACAATATATAAACCGAATCAAACTAAATTAAATATATTATCTATTTTTTATAAACCAAAATACTGAAAAACTAAGAAAATAGAATCGAAATCGAACCAATATCCGGATTGGACACTCCAGATTAAAATTTAAAAAAACCTTTGTAATGGGCTTCCAAAATGGGCTTATGTGGGCTATTAATTTGCTTATCACAAAGACGGTGATTTATTAGACTCAGTTATAATCACGTGGCCGAGCGAGAGAAGAAGGTTGCGTGAGGACGACTAAGGGTCTGACTGGTTGAAACGCGGCGGTTGCGATTGCGGTTGCGGGAGTTTGCGGATGTGGATGGTTGCGATTTCTAGCGTTATTAGGCGATTTGTACGACTGGTACAGCGATTAAAAACTGGTGCGTTTGCGGGACATTTATGACTGGTTGATTATGAAATACTACAATGGTTCAATTATAAATTTCCAATATTAACATATTATAACATTATAAAAATATCAAAACATACTGTTATGATAAAAAATAATAACTATTAATGTATTATAAGTAATAACAATATATTTTTTTTTTATTTAGATGAAAATATAATTTCTATAATTAATAAAATATTATAATATAATTAATTATATATTTATATATTTATATATTTATATATTTATATATTTATATATTTATATATTTATATATTTATATATTTATATATTTATATATTTATATATTTATATATTTATATATTTATATATTTATATATTTATATATTTATATATTTAATATTGAAAAATATAGTGAAAATTCTTGATTTCAAGTTTTTATAAATAGATTATGACATTTTTAGTGAATTTAAATTAAAAAATAAAAGGTAGATATAGTTTTAGTTATATTATTTTTATATTTTAATTTAAATTTAAAAGAAAAATAGTTTTTTTATCCACCCGCAATCGCCCGCAAACGCAAACGCTAGCTGAAACCAGCTTTTGATTTTAAGAGGTTGGGAGCGGTTTGAAGCGATTTGTAGCGGTTTTTGTGATTGTTGCAAAACGCTAGCAACCGCCATCAACCGCAAAAACTGCGTTTGCGGGTGGTAGCGGGGAAACCAGTCGGACCCTAAACCGTTCACGCAGCCACCATCTCTGACCAACGACGACAACGAACCTCACCTCACCTCGATCGAAAACCCTAACAATCCTCACGAATTTTCCCATTAAATTTCCCCGGAAAAAAATCTGGGGTCAGTGTTTCTAAATTTTCTCGGAAAAAAAAATTTCTTTGATTTGATTTATTTCATGGATTGAAATGCTATGTGTATTATTCAGTTGAGGAGGATATATGCGAATCCGATTTTAGAGTTTTGTATTTGAGAACGTCAATGGAGGAAGAGGAGGATAGGTTTCTGTTGAGTAGCTTAGGTGTTACCTCTGCTAATCCTGATGATATCGAACAAACGATTCTCGACGAGGTTCGTTTGAAATTAGGGTTTAGTGTTTATAAATCTATTAAAGAAAAAATTGAGTCTGTTATTATTAAACGTTAGTATTTATCTTTGTTAGGCAACTAAGAAGGTTGAGAATGATGAGAATGTGGAGGTTGAAGGAAACAATGTTCTTCTTCCATCAAGCCAGGGCGAGATTTTGAGTAAATTGAGAGCTGTTAAGTTTGAGATTGATGCTGTTGCGTCTACCGTTGAGGAAGCCGCGGCGGAGGAGGAGGATGAGGAGGATGGATTGCAGAGTGGTTCTGTACTTCAGAACGCTCTTGCTAAAGACCGTCTAAGGAGTCTTAAGAAGAGGAAAAAAGAGCTTGAGGAGGAGCTCTCTGGTTTAAATGGCCAGAGTGGTCCTTCTAGTAGTGCGGATCGCGGTGAGATACTGCGGGATTTGGTGAAGGGAGAGAAGAAGCAGCCTAGTAGTCTTAAGAGGAAGTTGAAAGAGGTTGGGGAAGGGAGTAAGAGAGAAGGGAAGAAGAAGGTGAGAGTGTTGTCGTTTCATGAGGATACGGATTTTGATGCTGTTTTCGATGCAGCTTCTGCAGGTTTTGTTGAGACGGTACGTTTGGTCTTATTTCACTTGATTACTGTAAGAATGTGAGTGAGTAATTTAGAGATGTTTGTGTCTAGGAAAGAGATGAGTTGGTTAGAAAGGGGATTTTAACTCCTTTCTCCAAGCTTGAGGGTTTTGAACGCAGACTTCAGCAACCTGGACCGTCAAGCTCGGTTAACCTGCGTGAAGGAGAAGAGGATGATGAGGAATCTAGCAGGATTGATAGAGTTGTTCAATCAATGTCGCGGGCTGCAAAAGCTCGACCGACGACTAAGTTACTTGATGCACAGGACTTGCCAAAGCTTGAAGCGACCCCTGTTCCTTTTAGAAGGCTGAGGAAACTTTACAAGACTAATGATTCTTCGGATAGTGATGCAAAGAAAAGTAAAGGTGGGAAGAGTAAAAAGAAGCGGCCTTTGCCTAAGAGGAAATGGACAAAGCGGATTTCAAATGAAGATTCTAGTCTTCAAGAAAATGGTATGGTTTATGCTTTTGAGAACCTGTGAATTTAGTTGCCTACTCATTTGAGCTAATGCTATTGGAAAATATAAGGTCGTGATATTGGATGGATCTTCTGACGTTTAAATATTACATGATACCATTGCAAAGCTTTGAATCGATATATGCAATGTCGATGTAAAGAAAATAGTTATCATCTTGATTTTATTTGCAATGTTGCAGAAGATGGACGGAGAATCTCAACCACGTCCAGTTGTGAGGAAGAAGAGCTAGATGATTTGGATGACGTAGACGACAGCGAGACATCTTCTGTACAGCTTGAGGGTGGATTAAACATTCCTGAAGGAATATTCACTAAACTTTTTGATTACCAAAGAGTCGGAGTGCAGTGGCTCTGGGAACTTCATTGCCAAAAGGCTGGTGGCATTATTGGGGACGAGATGGGTCTTGGTAAGACTGTGCAGGTCTTATCTTTCCTCGGATCTTTGCATTTCAGCAAGATGTACAAACCTAGTATTGTCATATGTCCTGTCACACTCTTGCGTCAGTGGAGAAGAGAAGCACGGACATGGTACCCGGATTTTCACGTGGAAATACTCCATGACTCGGCAAAAGATTCAAACGACAAAGGACGAGCCAATGCCTCTGAAAGCGATTATGATAGTGAAGGTTCGGCCGACAGTGATCATGAGCAAAAGTCTAAGAACACCAAGAAATGGAGTTCTTTGATTAACCGGGTTCTTAACTCTGATTCGGGGCTACTCATCACCACATATGAGCAATTGAGACTGCATGGTGAGAAACTGCTGAATATCGAGTGGGGTTATGCAGTACTGGACGAAGGCCATCGGATCCGGAACCCAAATGCTGAAATTACTTTAGTGTGCAAACAGTTGCAGACCGTCCATCGAATTATTATGACTGGAGCACCAATCCAGAATAAACTGACAGAACTCTGGTCCTTGTTCGATTTTGTCTTCCCAGGAAAACTAGGTGTCTTACCTGTGTTTGAGGCAGAGTTTTCTGTTCCCATAACTGTGGGTGGCTACGCCAATGCTTCTCCCTTGCAAGTGTCAACTGCCTACAGGTGTCTTTCTTTGAATCTCTTTGAATTATCGTCATAGTTTGTGTTCTAACAATCTTTGACGTTGTGCAGATGTGCAGTTGTTCTTCGTGATCTGATCATGCCATACCTCCTCCGCCGTATGAAGGCTGATGTGAACGCACATCTCACAAAAAAGACTGAACACGTTCTCTTCTGCAGCCTCACCGTGGAGCAGCGATCTACCTACAGGGCGTTCCTTGCTAGCTCAGAGGTAGAAGATATTTTCGACGGCAACAAGAACTCTCTATACGGGATTGATGTGATGCGTAAGATATGCAACCACCCTGATCTACTCGAGAGAGAACACTCTCACCAGAACCCAGATTATGGTAATCCAGAACGCAGCGGGAAGATGAAAGTAGTTGCAGAAGTTCTCAAGGTCTGGAAACAGCAAGGACACCGTGTGCTTCTGTTTTCACAGACTCAGCAAATGCTTGACATCCTCGAGAGCTTCTTGGTTGCAAACGAGTATAGTTACCGAAGGATGGATGGTCTTACGCCAGTGAAACAGAGGATGGCTTTGATTGATGAGTTTAATAACTCAGATGATGTGTTTGTTTTCGTCCTGACAACAAAGGTTGGTGGTTTGGGAACAAACTTGACCGGGGCGAATCGGGTCATCATCTTTGACCCGGATTGGAATCCCTCAAATGATATGCAGGCAAGGGAACGAGCTTGGCGTATAGGGCAGAAGAAGGATGTTACCGTTTACAGATTGATCACACGAGGAACAATAGAGGAGAAAGTATATCATAGACAGATATATAAACACTTTCTCACCAATAGAATCCTGAAGAATCCACAACAGAAAAGATTCTTCAAAGCTAGAGATATGAAAGATCTTTTCATCCTGACCGATGATGGTGACAGCAACGCATCCACCGAGACCTCTAACATCTTCAGTCAGCTCTCTGAAGATATAAACATCATTGATGCTCAAACAGATAACACAACCGATTCCACTACACAACTTGATAGTATTCACGATGCAGCAGCAGCAGAAGAACTCTCAGGAGAAAAAGATGCGGAGACCAATGGCGAGCCAGTGGATGAAGAGACGAATATTTTAAAGAGTCTCTTCGACGCACATGGAATACATGTAAGTTTGTTGATTGTT